ATATAACACCCCATGCTCCTTATATCGTGTGCCCTCTGAGGTCATTTTAAACTCAACTCATTCCAGTAGATTGGGAAACGGGGTTCCTGAGAGTGCGTAGGAGAGGCCTACAGTGGGAACTGAAGAGTGAGGAGGGGGGAGCAGGCAGAGACTGCTTCAGTGAAAGTTATTCCAGGTTCATATATTTTATTTACCGAGGCTCTGTTTTAAGTTTTGATCAAACTATGTATTCCAAGAGTAAAAATAATAGAAATCATCATGACAGTGGCAAAAGTGGCAATAACATTATGAAATTAGCTCTTCAAGAAGATACTTTCCAACCTTAAGATTTTTATGCTTCTAGGTGAGTTTTCTGTGGGTTTTTAATATCTTAAAATATATTTCAGATACATACATCTGGGTTTTTAGTATCTTGTCATGATTGAGGGAATCTCTTTTATCCTGTAAATAAGCAGGATGCTATTCAAATACTATTTTTCCCCTTTACTGAAGATACCATTCTTTTTTCTCTTCCTGATTTTCCCTTCTTCCACCATTTCTTTCTTTCTGTCATTGCATGTTAATGTATAAATTGGTTAAAGTCGTAAAATATTGAAAATTAACTTTATAAAACAATAAAACCCATCTATATGCGTTTCTCTTACGTTAACATTCCATTAGTTATGCTAATTACTATAACTGATGTGGTAATATCAATATATTGGATCCCTGAAACTCACTTGCAGGGTTTGTTCACAATTTAGAAAGCCAAGGCAAATGACCATTACAGGTGCTGAGTTTTTCCTGCTGCTGCTGCTAATTTATAAAGGACTTTTGAGAGCAAATGTCTAGATTTAGGAAATTAATCTATAGTCATGGTTCATAATAACAGTGGGGAAAAAGTACAAAACAATAAATTTTGATTGATTTATTATATATGTATCTATTTTTTAACTAAGTTTGGGTTTTGTTTTGTTCTGTTCTGTTATCCCAGTGGCATTAGGTTCTCATACCATAGCCCGCCAGCTTCATTGGCTCATGTAAGTTTCCCTCGTGTGTGTGTGTGTGTGTGTGTGTGTGTGTGTTTGTGTGTGTGTGTATGAGCGTCTGTGGTTTTTGTGTGTGTTGGTTGTTCATTTATTAACTCATTCATTTTCCTTTATCTCATTTTCTTTTTTTTATCTCATTTTCTTTTCCCACTTCCTTCTTTTGTTCATGAGCAACTATTATAATTTATGAAATTTCTGGGGGGTTTTTGAAAAATATATAATGTTATTTGGTACAAATAGCACTTTAATGTACATAAAATGTCATTGTCCTATAGACAGATCCTGTTTCTCACTTGTTCTTACTTGGAAAATAGTTTTAAGGTGGATCCTCCTTTTGGTTTTAATGCCCAGTTACGGTCTTTTTTCCTGCACTCTCTGCCAGGTATTTCTGTCTTGAGCAATTACTACACTCTCATTGTCCCATTTCTCCTGATACTGACTCCTACCTCAAATAGACTCTCAAGATTTCCGGGTCATAGAGTGTATACGTATTTAATTTAATGATGCTCTCCCACATTGCCCCCCAGAGGAGTGCACTAACCTGCATTCCCATTTAAATAATCACATATTTATAGATTGTAAACACGCAGTTGTTTTATTTTCACATGACACATAGTATTCTCACATCACAGAGTGAGAGTAAAGCTGAACAGCCATCCAACAAGTGTAATTTACTTTGTAGTAAGAGTCTTCTGATTATATATCCTGGTCAGCACATGGTATTTTCTGGCTTTTAAACTTTTTGCAATATGATGAGAGCTAAGTAGTATGTCATTATTGCTTTAATGTATACTTTCTCATCACTAATGAGTCTGGGCCTTATTTATTTATTTATTTATTTATTTATTTATTTATTTATTTTGGGGGGGCCTTTTTTAATAGACTTATAAAACTTTTAAAATTCTTTCTCTGTTAATCAGCTTAATTTTACTAATTGCCAAGATGTTTCTGTTTTTTTGCTCGTGGAGTATCATTTTTTATTAATTTTTATGACAATGTACAGTATTAGATGCCAGGTGGTGATCACCACGTGAGGGACTAATTATGTAGTGCCTGCCACTTACGAGGTGCTGAAAAAATAGTTATGGAATTTTTTAAAAAGCTATGAGCTTTTGTGTGATATATATTTGGATATACATATACAATTTCAACTGTTCAGTCAGTAATTATAATACATAAGATGTTTGTGATGTAATGGTAAATATTAATTATAGACAAAGAAATAACATACCTGATATCGTGCATTATAAAGAATACCATTCACTAGTTTTAGGGGCACATAAAGTTAAGAAATCCCAGAAGTTATAAAAACATATAGTCGATAATGTTTTATGTTGATTTTTTTTTTTTAGTTCAAACATTACCTGATTATTGTCTTTTTTGTTTTTTAATAACATGTTAAATATAAGATTCTGAGCAGCAAATCCTGTCATCGGCTGTTGAACATTCGATAAAAATTCAGATGACCTTAGTTGTCCTATTAAAAGCTATTAGTATAGGTACTTTCTAGGGATATAATTGAAATATCATCTGTTGATTCTCAAAGTTGAGCAGTTTATTAACATACATGTTTGATATAATTTAAGTATAAAGAAAATGTAAATGTTTGCTCATAATGCTAAATAATAGATATAACCCTCTATGTGTACACTATCCTCCAGGAATTATTTCTAAAAAAAAGTCAGAATACAAAGTTGTCTCTCCTCTGCTTCCATTCAAGTCAATTAAATGATAAAAATATTACTTTAGTGAACCTCAGTGTGGCATGATCATGTTCCACAAATTTTCACAAGCATTTTAAAATAGTTTATAGGATTTTGCAGTTAACATTTTTCAAGAATATTATATTTGAAATCATATCATACTTAATTTTCATAATGATTAAAACCTTGTTATGAATTAAGGAATAATTGGTTATATTCACGTGGTTATTTTAGTATGACTCTTGTAGGATTTTTAGAGATTAGGAGAGGTGATGCTTAAGAAACTTGTTATTAAAGGACAATGTACAAGTCATTCACATACCCTATGGTATCTGATCCTCACCAATGGAACCAAGAATAAAAGGACAAAAGTACTAGCAAAATCTTTTGAACCACTGTCCTGCATGAAATCTGGTGAAACTGAATGAAGACAAAAGAAGTTTAGCCTGTGTATTGTGGAACAGAACAGATTGTGTAGTTTATGACCGCAGGTGTGTTTCTAGGCAAGATTCTAGTTATCTGTTGCTGGGTTGGTTTTGTTTTTGTTTTTTCAGAAATTTATCACTGATTCTAAATAACTTTCCCTTTGTAATACCAGAAGCATTTTTAAATTTTGTTGGGTGATTATGTTTTGGAAATTTGCCCCTTTATTTTGGGAGGTGAAATATTAGCTAAACCAAGAGAAGAAGCATGAAGATTATGCAGCTATTTCTTTTCATAGAATATGCTCTTGCCAAAAAGTGACAATGCAATTATAACACTAATTGTTTCAATTCAAAATCATCTGTATATAAATATACTCTTTATCTTGACTTTTTTTAAAGTGTGTTTTTCAGCATGATTTTCCTTTTGTAGTGGTAAACTTTTCTTTAGTGGTGTCATGTTGTCTCTTATGTAATTTTCTCATTTTATATGTACAACAGCCTGGGATTGTTGAATTAAACCTAAGGCCCATCTGAAGATAACATTTTGTTGGAGTAAGTTCTAGAAAAGCCATTTCTGTTTGTGTTATTGTGAACATTTTTATGGACTTCTTTCGCCATTTCACTCTAGTAAAAGTATTTCCCTTGTTTGTAACTGGTAATAATGCTTTCCAGTGTAAATAAAAATCATTAAAACCTTTAAAGATTCAATTAGGCCATATTTAGAGTTTTCCACTGAAACCAGTGGTGAGCAATAGAGAATTTCACATAGGCATCTGTGAAGCTCATTGAAATCCTAATTGTTCCACAAGTATTTACTTTTAATTAAATCATAGCCTAGTTATGGCATGCAGATACTGTCTTAGGTAAAGCTGACAGCACTCACAAATATTTGGGCACTATTACTTTGGATAGTTTCATCCAATTTATATCCATTTCACATAGCTACATATTAGGAAGAGGTGATTCATGCCAAATATGTACTCCTGAGTTATTTGACAGCTCATATAAAATGGACCAAAGAAGCAAAATTTAAAATGTTGTTACTATTTTTTGAGGTGAAAAGTATCCTTCTAGATAAAGTGATAACATGAAATGCCCTCTAATTAGTCCAGCAACATAGTTAATGTGATCCAGCACAAAAAGATGATGTAGAGTTCTTTGCTGAAATATTATTAAGAATTTCAAAATTGCACCAGTGAAGCATTAAACCAAGCATGGGCCCTTCTGAGCACAGGGTCTTGTACTACCGCCCAGGCCACCCCCCCATGAAGCTGCCCTTTCTGTAACACGCCTGCTGATTCTACTCAGGAACGTCTTGCATACAGTGAAGAAAGAAAAAAAAAATACCACATGGAAATCTGTTTTATCTGAGCAAAGTTGAAGCAATACCAATGTCTTAAAACCAAACTACTAAGACTTTTTTCTACTTCTCCCATTCCATGATGGATTATGAAAGTCTATACTCTTCTAGATGCTTGTTTCCCAAGGAAAAATTATATTGGTGCTTGTATGTTTTTTTTTTCTTCTACAAAATTGGCCTAAGCAATATATGTTTAATAATGTTTTCTTTATTAAAGCAGTGTGAACAAAATGCATGTGTTTGGTAATATTTAATAGATTTTCAAAAGTAATATTTTGCATGTTGTCTTAGACATATTTGATGTGTTCAGGTAAGTGATGAAATTGAACTACATGTGGTTATGGTATTAACATTACGGAGAACTTTGAACTGGTGTTCTCTGAAATGGTGTGCTGAGTTGGTTTTTAAATGTTTTCTATGCCCTATAGTCTCAGACTAGAAATACAACATATTTTTTATTTTATACCTGAATTTGTTTTTTTAGGGATGCAAGTATTGGAATGGAATGGAATTCCTTTAACTTCTAAAACGTATGAAGAAGTGCAGAGTATCATTAGTCAGCAAAGTGGGGAAGCAGAAATATGTGTAAGACTGTGAGTTTTTCCCCATCTTTTTGTTTCCATTTTTTGGCTATTCATGGCTCTTTTAATTTAAAATTGTTAAGGTGGAACCTTTGCCAGCCAGCAAGATTTTCAGTAATTAGAAAATAAAGTGAATACAAGTTTTATAGATTTCTTGTGTTCAGAATCAAAGTCTAAAGCATAGAAAGAATTCAGCTAATTTTGTGTCTGATCATGTCAGTAGTTCTCCCCCTTTCATGCTTTTATTGAAACATGCTTCATTTAAATGAAAGCCTAAACCTATTTAGATTTTGTGTATGTGTGTAGTATTTCAAAATGAACTTACATTTAATCAATAAAGATTTCACCTTAAAAAATCATTTTTATCAGCTGACTTTTAAAAGCATTGCAAATATATATTTGGTTAGGAGGGTGAGCATGCTTGGAAATGGCTTTATATCATTAACCACTTCTCATTTACCTACTGAAAAAAAAAATCAGGGTAGTTGGAAAAAAGGGCCTTTTGTCTCCTGTTTCCTCAATTTCTTTCTTAATTTCTTTGTTTTAATTTTTAGGGATCTCAATATGCTGTCCGACTCTGAAAATCCCCAGCAGCTGGAACTTCATGAGCCACCAAGAGCTGGTAGGTGAAAGGAATCTGCTCCCAGCTGTGGGTAAGGGTGAAGGTGTGTATGTAAAGGGAGTTGTAGAGGCAGATGATGCCTCTGTATGATGAAGATATAAACACAAACATATTGTATGGGCAAAAATGTAGGTATAGACCAATAGGTGTTTATTTACTTATGTAATCTTAAACAAAACCAAAAGCACTGCAGCTATGGATGTAGCATCCTAGGGAAACACATACTTGTGTGTCAGACCCATTAAAGAAATTAATACAGAATTCTTGCTGTGTGCGTTTACAGTTTTAATTCTTTAAAAATGAATTCATCCAATCAGAGTAGGCCATGGGGCCATTTATTTGAGGTATTATAGAAGTTTTAGATCATACTTGATTCCTTTTAGCATAACTAGATTATGGACCTTTTGATGGCCTTTTTCTAATAAAGAGAAAAATCCACGTGTCATTTCATAAGGACATGATGAAATGGATTTAGCTCTTTCTTAGCTAACAACTGTAGTCTTATAAATGTAGATGTCTTATTACATTAAAAATATGGCTTATTTCTTTAACAAATTTTTCTTGAGCGTTCCCTGTGCTACAGCCAGCATGGAGAGTCTGGGTTACTGCCCTCAGGAACAGGGAGGGGCCTGTATAACTTCTCATACATCTGTGCATGTAAATTCCCTTGTCATCTAGAACTCATGTAAGTTCTATGGTATCAAGTACCTATGAAATGGAGAAATACATAGCCACTTCATTTTGTTGTAGTGGATAAAGCGAAATCCCCAGGGGTTGATCCCAAGCAGTTGGCAGCGGAGCTCCAGAAGGTTTCACTACAACAGTCACCACTGGTTCTGTCATCTGTTGTGGAGAAAGGATCTCACGTTCATTCAGGTCCTACTTCTGCAGGATCCAGTTCCGTCCCCAGTCCTGGGCAACCAGGGTCTCCCTCAGTGAACAAAAAGAAGCACAGCAGCAGCAAGGTGAGAAGTGACCTCTGAGTTACTTATTTTCTAGCTCTGTATTCAATCAAGGACAGAGGAAATCCAGTATCATCTTCTCAGGTGGTTTTCTTGTGATCTCTCATTTCCTAATGATGGATTGAAACAAAATGTCCATTTCTTAATATATAGCGGATCAAATGTTATAAAGATGATGTATTTCTACATTTCTTAAAATACTCTAGCAGTTATAATTATGAGGAACTTGAATGGTGTGTCTAATGCTTTGTATTTCCTGGTTCTTCTTTGCAGTTGTCTGAGCCCCTTTGTGTATGGAACGTTAGCTTTGCATCTTTTTGGAAATGCAAGATAGACATTACATTGGATTTGATCATTTAAATAAAAGGTATAAAGGACACAGAGATAAAATTTGTCCTAAAAGAATTTAGGACAATAAGAAATAAGGAAAATCAGTCATATGGAATTGCCACTTTGAATTTTATCCCTAATTCTATACTGATTGGGGCACCTCAGTGGCTCAGTCAGTTAAGCATCCAGCTCTCGATTTCAGCTCAGGTCATGATCTCACACAGTTGTGAGATCGAGCCCCATGTTGGGTGCTGCGCTCCACAGGAATCTGCCTGAGATTCTCTTTCTCCCTCTTCCTCTGCCCCTCCCCTCATGCTTGCTTGCTCTATCTCTCTCTCAAATAAATAGATTAAATCTTAAAAAGAAAAAAAGAAGAAGAAGAACCAGTAATATAGAATTGCCATTTTGAATTTTATCCCTAATAACATACTAATAAATTTTCCTTTGTTGCAAGTCTTCTTTTGAAATAAATACTTCTAACATTATTATTTCCAAGTCACTGGGCAATGAAAAGAAAACAGAATTAATTTTTTAAGTTTATAAAAGCAGATGAAAATATAGACAGTTTGTAGCTTTTTCCTCATGCATTTGATTGCATCATTTGATGACTTGTTTCAAACTAAATATAGCAACACTTCTCAAAGTGCAATTTCGAGAGTAGATTCAATTTCAAAACATATTTTAACACAGCTGTATTATACCACATGCAATTGTGTATTAGTGTCTGAGAATCACCTCATGGAAGCTCGCTGTCTCCTGAGTTACAGACTGATGGTATTTCTCACTTATTTCTCAATCTCCAGGTAGAAGTCCTCAAGACATGACAAACTCTGCTAGCAAAGTTTCCAAACCAAGCATATTATAGTTCTATGAGTTTCTCATCCTAATATTTTTTTATTTCAGCAACTGACATCACCATCCTTCCAGGAAATTAAGTATGAATTTAAGACCTCCATTGCTCTTCTTTTTTCTTGATTCACAATGTCTGATCAGTCACTGAATCTTAATCCTGAGAATTCTAATTTCCTAAAAAGTCTGTAGCAATTTTCTGTCTTCTCGGAACTCACCAATGTTCTTTAGCAAAGCATTATTTTTTTTCCTAACATTATTGCACTCACTACTGGTAACTCCATTCACCATTTTTATTTCCTTCCTCTTAAACTACTCTCCAACTGTCTGATCTGTGCATAATGATCTGATTGGGTCACTACCTTGTTTAAAAAGTATCCCTACTCCCCAGAAAGTTGGCTGCCTCACCCTTGCGTTGGACCCTACCCTGCTCAGTCTAAAAGTGCTCAGTTAGTGGTTTCTCTTGGGAGATTATTACAGTAAGCATAATGTCCAATCTTTACAATAGCCTTGCTAATAAGTACTCTGTATATTAGGGTTTCCAACACATTCCTACTTTTAAGACATTTTTGGATGGCACCTCAGTGTCAGGGGTCACACTTTGTATAGGATACAAAGATGGATAAAATCCCTTCCCTACATAGTAGGTAGACCAGTGGTTCCTAAAGTGTGATTCTTTTAACAGCATCAGCATCATCTAGAAACATGTTAAAAATTCAAATTCTTGATCCCACTCCATGCCTTCTTTAAGGATTAGACCAAGAAACAAGAGTTTTAATAAGTTCTTCAAGTTGTGTGCTGCCCTTTGAGGTTTAAAAGGTACTGGTCTAGGGGCACCTGGGTGGCTCAGTTGGTTAAGCATTTTCCTTTGGCTCAGGTCATGATTCAGGTCCGGGGATCGAGCCCCTCCATTGTCAGGCTCCCACCTCAGCAGGGAGTCTGCTTCTCCCTCTAGCTCTGGCCTTCTCCCCACCACCCCTCGCTCATGCTCGTTCTTTCTCTTTACAATAAATAAAAAATTAAAAAATAAAAGGTACTGGTCTAATTACAGATGAAGAATGATATGTAACCAAATTCAGTGAAAGTGTAATATTAAATGCCATGAAGAAATACAGTGAGGGCATGAAGAATGGGGTTAGGAGAGCTGGTATTTAGCTAATGAACTGAATCAGTAAAGGGGATAAAGGGAGCAGCACTCCAACCAGAGAGTGCAACATGAAAAAAAATCTCAGAAACAGAAATTGCCTCCGTAGAATGTAGGTGTATAAAAAAATACAGGGGTAAGAAATAAAAGAGAAGCCTAGATGGTTGTAAATTGGAGGGTATTATGTGCTATGCCTGGCTTTTACACAGCAATCTGCCGGAAATGAAGAGCCAGTGATAAGCTGTAAGCAAAAATGAAATAAGAATAACAGGAAGCCTTTGTCCATGAAATCTTTCCATAGTCCAATCCTGCCTTAAGATCAGAAGGTATCCTTTTTCCTTTTCTCCACCCTCTGAAATGCCTCTATGCTTTATGGATCTCTTTTTTTTTTTTTAAAAAAATTTTTTTTTAAATTTTTTTTTTTTTTTTGCTTTATGGATCTCTTAAGACAATTTGTATCTTTTTTAAAAAATTTATTTATTTATTTATTTATTTATTTATTTATTTATTTATTTGAGAGAGGAAGAGAGCACAAACGGGAAGTAGAGGGAGAAGCAGGTTCCCCACTGCAGGGACCCTGACATTGGATTCAATTCCAGGACCCTGGGGATCATGACCTGAATCAGAAGCAGATGTTTAATCAACTGAGCCAAGGAGGCATCCTACTTTGGTTTAAGTACATAATAGGGGGCTTATACAGCATAGTAACAAAATAAATATTCTGATATAAATATCATTGGCACTTGTGTCTCTATAACATTATGGACGTGCAAAATTTGATTTTTTGTAATATGTTAACTATTATGGCAATGATTAGAAGATAAAAACAAGTACAGTAGAGCAAGCATCAAGGAAATGATATTGACATGTTTTATGATATGCAGTAATTCTTTTCCATGCCACGAATGTGGCCTATGTGTTTTGCTGTATTTTTGCTGAAATAAAAATTTATAGAACTACGTTGTCCATAATGGTAGGCACATGTGACAGTTGAGCCCTTGAGATGTGGCTAGTCTGAACTGAGATATCCTGAATATGTGAATTAATGCCAAATTCTTTAGACTTAATATGAAAAAATATATAAATTATTTCATTACAATTTTGATACTGATTTCATGATGTAATTATAATAGTTTGCATAAATTGAATTAACTAAAATATATTATTAAAATTAATTTCACCAGCTGATTCTTACATTTTTAAGTAACTACTAGAATATTTAAAATTACCTCTGGTCTCCTACCATTTAGTGATGATAGATTACTTAACTCTTGCCAATAGTAATAACCATAATCAAATCTAACCACTTTGGGAATGTGTATGTATATAATTATATGAACATTTCTCATTGAAACACATAGTAACTAGATACTAACATTCTTGAAGAAAGAGACCGTTACTTAGTCATCTTTTGGGACATTTATCTTCAACATCTAGCTGGTATAGTTTCTTGAAACCTTTTTTTTCTGAACAGATCAATGGATAAATAAATTTAATTTTAATATTTCTTGACCCATCAACATGTGGTATTCATAAAAGGCAATACATATTTTTCATTTGTTCTCCAAATCCTACAATGTTAAAGAATTTATATTGAGATATTACAGAAATAGGGAGTGACGGTCTGAAACTTACATATCCCTGTCAGGTAATATGTCCACACATGTCATATGTTCTTCAGATAATTTATAGAATTATGGTTTTAACTTCTTTGTGTTTTCATTAGATATGAGACTATTAAATAATAAGACATTAAGGTAATGAAATATATTAAATCTAAAATATTTAAATATAGTTAGCATAATTATACATTTGGATACTTAGAACACCATCTAGTAAACATTCTAAATAATGATTCATAAGTAATTATTAATCTGTTAATATTCTAAATAATTTCTGCTGAGTATATGTAGGCAAAATATGAATCTAAATTATTTAAATGCATCTTTAAATTATATAAGCTATGTATATGACTATTTTAAGTGATTATTTTTCTTAAACTAATTCAATACAAATTTTTATCTTCAAATTTTTTATTTCACCATCTCAAGCTGTTTTGTCTCTGAAATTCTAACCAAACCTTCATCATTTTATCTTTAAAGATTGAATTTCTTTCAAGGCATGGTATGAATAAATGATTCAATTAAAGTACTTAGTTTTAAGTGTCTTATGAAATAGGTCATTGGTTTCCCAAAGTTTGCTGGTCAGAGTACCCTGAACATCTCAGTAATTGTTTTTCATGGCTGTCTTCTGCCCAAAGATACATCTAAAACAGTTTTATTTGTTAAGTAATTAGTTAATTAGTATCTGAATAACCATTGGAAGAAAATAATACATATAAGATGAAATAAAAATAATGTATTTGTTTCATTGCTAATAATTACATATCACTGGAATATGGGCAGCTGATGGACATTGCACAATTCAAACTATGAAATCAGACTGCATACTAACAAAGTGATTTCTTGTTGTACACTGTCCTCGCTGATCTTCCTGAAGTACATTTTTTTATCTTTGCAATCATTAAAAACCAACCTCACAAAGATATGGCATCATTGAAAGGAAAATAGTTGGTCTGATCTTGACGGGTAACTACCTGGGGCTCATGGTTGGCTCAGTGTCCAAAAAGATAGTGATCTTTTTCCTTCTGTAATTTAAAGTATCTCCCTCTCTACCCTATTGAGTTTACTGTCACACCCCAGAACAATTAAAAATGGTCCATAAGTTTACTAAATCTAGTCATATTTGCATGATTATATGTCAAATGAGCTATAACTGTCAAAAAGAGATCAAAACAAAGTCAGTTACCAATAATAATTTAGCTTTGCATTTTATGAGGGGTTTTTGTGTCTCATTTTTTTGTTTTTATGTGTGTTATTCTTGTTTTCCTCTTTGGAATGCAAAGATAACTGCTTTTCGGAAATTCCCCATCTTTACTCAAGATACAAATAGTTTCAGAGGCTTCTATAGTCCTTTTTCTGGATCCAGTTTGCTTTTCTTTGAATTTAAGCGGTAAAGTAATTCTGAAGTAAATATACTTATTCATTAACTAGTAGCTTACCCTTTGCAGCCAGAGTTTCAGTATTAATGAATGGACATTCTTATAAAGGAGCTCAACTAAATAAAGGATATATGGTTTGGAAAATTTAACCTCCACTCTATATAATTTTATGAAAGGTCACATTATTTGTATTCCTTAGTTATTTCCTAAAACAAGACCTGGAATAGTCTTCTTTGGATTGCCCTCATTTCTAGAATAAAAATATAAAGGAAAGGCAACAAGTGTATCTACCTAAACATTAAGGATCTTTCCTTTTCCAGTTAATTATTAAAACCAGGCCAATATTATGTACATGTAGGCAGACAGGGCCTTATTTTGGGGGTAGCAGGCTGTCCTCCATCTTAATGAATATCTCCCCATGTCAGTGCCACATTACCTGAAACTCTATTGCCGATCTGGAGTCAGGGACATCATCTCTCCTTTTGTACAGATACTGCACTGAAATGTAACAAATCAGCAATCTGTCACTTTTTTCAGCATTATGAACCAATTTACCAGATCACATTCCTAACTGCTCTTAGGGCTTTACTGACATAAGGAACTTATTAAGGAAGTGAGAACTTACATAGAAGAGGATAGAACTTTCATTAAGGAATGTGAACTATGAAGAAGTGATTGCCTGGGCGCTTTACTCTAGAAGGCAGCAGTGAGGGGTTGAGCATCCATCCAAGGAGCTCAAGGATGGCCTTCTATAAGCTCTGTGCTCCTAGGCAGTTGTTGTCTAAAAACAACGTCTTTTTCATTTCTCTATAGATCTTTAAAACCTGTAAATAGCTACATTGAGTACTTTAAACCAAAGTATTCATTTCATTAAGTAATTGAAAATGCAGTCCTATAGGTATAAAATTATAGCTTCACAACAGGTTGAGCAAAATGAAAAAACAGATTTATGTATCTATAAAATTAAACACATATTGAGAAGTAGAAGTAGACCCCATAATCCAAAGCAGCCAGATGGATGAAATGCATTTTCCAGGCAGTGTGTTCTGACCAAATAGAAATTAATTACAGAAGGAAGTTTAAATGGTCAATTTTATGATGGACTTATCCATTAATATAATATATGTTTTTAATATTGCAGCCTACTGATGCAACAAAGGTTGTCTCTCATCCGATTACAGGGGAAATTCAGGTATGAAAGTTTTTTTAAAAATCATCATTGTACCATCTTCGTTGGCTGATTCACACCCCCTCCCACTGGTCTATTGTAATTCTAAACACTGTTAGGACCTTTCCTGTTTTGTATGTGTTATATATTATACATTCAGACCTGTGAAAGAAAAATACTATTTTATAGAGCAGCATTTTGGTACAAATATATAGTTTATAAAATCTGTGTATGGAACTCTATAACTTGACATATGTGTCTGATGCCTTAGCAGTATCAGTATGTTTTACGTCTTAGTTTATATTTGTTGAATGTGTTTCAAATATAACAGAATCTCCCAGAAGTGTGAGGGTTCCTCTTTAAGAGTTTCATGAGTCCAATGCTGTCCTCTTTCCATCCTCCTACCAACAAGTGTTACATAATTATTGAACATTTCTTCTAGAGTAGTGTTTTTCATACCAGGGGTCATAACAAGTTTGTAATTCATAAAATCAACTTAGGGGATTTTGACCAGGAACATAGAAGAAAAATAGTACAAATCTCTTTTTTTTTGACATCTATAAATGCATGTTTCTGTGTGTATATCATAATCTATATTTCTTACTGTGAGTCAAAGTCAGAAATGTTTTAAAAACTGTGCTTCAGATGATGCCAAAAAGTAATTCAGGATAGATAAGAAAAATCACATAGAAGAAACAAACACAATGTAAAATGATAACTATTTGAAGACGGCAGGTTTCAGATAAGGGGGAGAGAACAGGAAGTCTTAGAGCTGTCTCTCCGACATAGTCTAGACGAAATTTTCATGAATGATTTCACAAAGGACAGCAGACTTGAACAAATTAATTTGAGGCTAAGCCCCGAGAAGAGGAGAGTTTCCGCTGCCAGAGAGTAATAATAGGCAGGGATCAGCTTTGCTGCCTTGAAATGTTCCTGTACAGAGAAGTTGAAACTAAATATAAAAGAGCCTTCAGCACAAGCTCAGTGGTGTTAGCCCTGCACGAGGGTGCCTGGTAGGATTCTGGAGTAAGGGAGACCGAACGGAATACGTAAGAAGATGTCATACCGCAGTGGCCTCCAGAAGATGTTACAGGGGGGAGGCTGCAAGTGCGAGGACATCAGTGAAGTGGTCATCTGGGCTCCCACTGATGAAAGCAGAGCGGGCGTGAGCCTGGGATGGGAAGAAGGGCCCAGGCCTGGCCCCTTCCATGCTGCCCGGCCTGCCTCCTCACTGCTGCTTCCCCCTTGCAAGAAAGCCAGACCTGATCTTCCTTGATGTCACCAGCAGCCAAGAAAACGCTAGATTTGCTGATTTTCTGATTCCTAGATTTTTTTTCTCTGCCTCTCATTTTTTTTTTTTTTAAACTTCTTCCTCACAGACCAGTATTTGCCATGTTTCGTTCAGGCTTGAGGTTATTTATTCTTGTTTCATTTTCCTTTTCCTTGAGCAGTGATATTTAATTCTGTAGTGGGAATTTATTCTGATAATATTCTTTCTTAATGTGTAGGCTGTTTTTAAAAAATATTTTCTCATAACAGTGATTTCTAGCTTATTTATTTTCTTATAGCGAAACTTTTTTTTTTTTTTTTTTTTTGCAAATGAAACCTTATGTGGTCACCCAAATGATGAATCTGCTACCCTGGCGTAGCTCTGGTTGAAAGAAATGTCTGGGGACATTTAATTTCTGTCTCAAAAGTAACATCTGAGCAATCCTGAGTGTTTTCTAAAGCACTGCAGGATAGTTTCTGAAAAGTACTTTCTTATGGTAGCCTGCAAGTTTTCATTTAAATAAATGGTTTTGGTGCCTTACCAGATGAAAGTGGACATAAAGGCCATCAAAGAAAAGAGTACGAGGGGAAGAAGTTCTCCTTAACGATTTGGAAGCTGTTCTAAATCTCAGTGTAAAAATTGGTGCAGAATAATTCCATTTTTCAATTCCCATTAGGGTACACAATTACTGAATTTCTTTTTTTTTTTTTTTTACTATTATTTATTTATTCATGAGAGACATACAGAGAGAGGGGCAGAGACACAGCAGAGGGAGAAGCAGGCTGCCTTCGGGAAGCCAGATGTGGGACTCGATCCTGGGTCTCCAGGATCACACCCTGGGACGAAGGCAGATGCTCAACCGCTGAGCCACCCAGGAACCCCAGTTACTGCATTTCTAAACTTCTCATTTTTTGTCTTTCTTCATGGTACTTTATTTTATATGTTGCCTTTGCTTTCATAATGGTCAGACAAATTCAGCTTTTCTGTGTTGAGAAAGCAACTGAAGATTCCTCGTCTGCCAGAAAATATAACCAGATGAAAATTATGCTTATTTAGGCAATTATTTTAATTATCAGATTTTAGGGGCAGCCCTGGTGGCCCAGTGGTTTAGCGCCGCCTGCAGCCTAGGGTGTGATCCTGGAGACCCTGGATCGAGTCCCACGTCGGGCTCTCTGCATGGAGCCTGCTTCTCCGTCTGCCTGTGTCTCTGCCTCTCTCTCTTTGTGTCTCTAAGAATAAATAAATAAATAATCTTTAAAAAAAATAATCAGATTTTAAATGAAGTTTGGCTTCTCTAAAATTTCCCATTTTCAACATGAGCACAACATACCTGCTTCAAATGATTATTAAAAAAATGGGTTAGTATTTTTATATATGAATTTTTTCCTCACATATAGATCCTTTCCTTTCTGTCATTTGATAAGCAAAAGCAGCATCAAGCAAAATTAAGTCTTATTGAAAATGATGGCATAAGAATATTTAAGTTTTGAAGGAGAAAAATTAGTCAACTCCATTATCATGAAATATGTAGGCTTCTCAAGTATTTATTTAAATTGTTAATCTTTTCCTCTTCAGTGATAATTATGCAACAGCCATTAAATCTAGGAGGCAGGGCCTCTTCTTTCCTCTTCAGTGTCTAAAATTAAAGAACAAGATCTTATTATCTTATATTCTGACAGTATTAGAAAAGCAGGCACAGAAAAAAACTATCAGTAATATGACATACTATAGAAAGAGATCAAATCTACATATTCTTAAATATTCTTACTTTTCAGACTAACAGCTCTATCTTTAAATAATGATTCCACCTACTGCTAATTATCTGGTAAAATGCAAAAGACATTTTCTAAAAAATTCAGCAATTGATTTATTTTCAAAATCCTAGTAATTGTATTCATGAACGCTGACAACATGTACTATTTTTCTAAGAGTATAAATTTAGCATCAAAATATAACTAGCAATTCACTGTGTGATTATACTTTTTTTTTTGTATGATTATACTTCTAAATGAATTTTAGACAGGCCAGAACTTTAACCATGGAAAGAATGAACAGCACATTTTCTAGTAATTAGCATGTGCCTGGAAGCTCTCAATTAAATTAGACATACACTAGTCTGTTCAGTTTCAAGTAAAATGGAAATGAAGGTTGGTGCTCCCTAGGACACTAAAAAAAAAAAAAAAAAGAGTACTGGTAAATTATTGAATAATAATGTATTATAGATTTCTTAAGACAACAGCAAAATATTCATGGAATATTTTGATGTCCCTTTAAGCTTCAAATCAACTATGATCTCGGAAATCTCATAATCCATATTCTCCAAGCAAGAAACCTTGTTCCTCGAGACAACAATGGTTACTCGGACCCCTTTGTTAAAGTGTACCTTCTTCCTGGGAGAGGGTGAGTAAAGAAGCAGTGTCTTCTAATTTTCACATGCCATGGATTAAAAAATAGTGTTAGTATTTCTTCCAGTCTCCAATTTTAAAGTTTAATATCTGTTCCTTGGTTTTATTTACATGTCTTATTTATTTATTTTCAACTATTAGGTAAGGTGGAAATGAAAATTTGTAATTAAGCCCTCAAGTGTTCCAGGAGAGCCCTGATCATGATAAAACCTGTTTTGACGACGTGTCAGCCTTTTGAATCTAGAAACCACACTCACTAATCAGATGAACTGTGAAATCATTTAAGGAATTATTTGTAGCACATTTAGAGAATTAGCTTTACCTTCCTAAATTCATTTGCAAAACCAGTGTTCAGGGACTTGTAAGTAACTGTTTTATCTTATAGGACATCATTGTCTATCACATTACATGTTCATTAAGTGACTTATTGATGTATCCCTATTTATATGCATATTTTCAAATCAATGTTTTAAGAGTTATAAAATAAGAAAAAATAAGAATAATATTTGAAATGTTGAATATTAAAAATGTTTAATAAGTATGGTAAATATTTGGTAAATACATGAAAAATGACTGAATCGCATGTCTATACAAACTGTTCATATAAAGCAAGTGTTCTTTGGGGATGTTTAATTTTCACATGATAAATGCAAATTGCTACATTCTGGTGTATAAATCAGTACTCAAAGATGATGTCAAAACAGTGATTTGGACCCAATGAATCATTATACCTTATCTGAACGATTTATAGTAGCCACATTAGCATGATGGAACCATAAATAATCAACAATTGTAGGCATAATAAAAAAGAAATTGAAGCTAGTGATTTCAAGGCTCTGGTTTTATTTTTATCTATTTTTTTATTTGAGGGATGACATTTGAATATTACTCTTTACTTGGAAATTTCGAATTGTTGCACATGAGTAGAAAGAATGACCCACCACTTATTCATTACTCGGCTTCAACAATCGTCATTTCCTAGACAATCATGTATCATTTTAACCCTCATATACTCCCTCTACGCAGATTATTTTAAATTTTTTATTTATTTAGATTATTTTAAAGTATATCTCAACTCATAACTTTTTCTGCAAATACTTTACTATATATTTCCAAAAGATCACTCATTTAAAACATAATCATAATACCACATGTAACCACTGTCCTTTCAAAATGTTTAAATAATTCCTTATTTCCCCAACTGCCTCCTAATTGAAGTCCTAATTGATATTTATAGAATTCTTCCCATCAATAGGAGAATACATATTCAAGTGCATGTGAAACATTCACCAAGATAAGCAATATGGTGGGCCATAAAACAAACCTGAACAAATTTAAAAGCACTGAGATCATACAAAGCATGTTTGTGACTATAGTTGGTTTGTTTGAATAGGATCCAAGTTAGAGTTATACATTACCTTTGAATCTGCTGTTTGTTGACTAATTATATCACCACCATCAGATCACCATTTCTTTTGAGATTAATCTTTCTTGTTGATAATGACAGGGCCAAGGAAGCAAGCAGAACCAATAGTTTTGTCAGGAAATCAAATAATACTCAGAAAATAATTTGAAAATTTCCAGGTGTTTTATCAAACTAAGTATACAGCCTTTAATTTTATCCTAATAATTTTATTTAGAAATTTAGAATTGGTGGTTTTGTGATTCTAATTTTAATTCATTGAATTTAATTTACAGGGATCACCAATTAGCCATATAGCACAGAAAAGGGGGGTTTTCATTTTATGTTCATTTAAATCTTTAGTAGTTACAACTGCAGTTTGGCTATCTTTTTTTAATGTGAGTAGAACAACAACAAACTGATAACTTCATTCTGCCTTTGATTGGGTCATTAGAACTCCAATGTTATTTAATGACAATATTAAGGAACAAGAAGAAATCACTGCCAAGGTATATCCCTAATTAAGCATTTGCAAATGAATGAAAATAAAGCAGTGTATTTTACTTTCTGTCATCTCTAATAATATCCTAGAGAGTATCGCCTTTTATACTATATGAAGTACCTATGTTTTATTTATTACAGGATATGTTTCAATTAGACTATTACATACTTGAATAACCCAAAAGGGCAGGCAGGTAACATGAATATCTCAGCCATTCGGGGGGTAACAGGAAATGAGGAACTATAGTGAAATAAAGAGTGAGTTTCCACCTAAAGCCATCTCCATGTATTTTGTCAGATAAAACATGCCTGTTCTTTGGGATTTGCCCCAAAGGGAGCTAATAAACTACGCTTATTCAATTCCTAAACCTTTCCTTAAATTACTACTAATGAGTACAGTGGCCAAGGCATTTGTGACCTGTTATTTTCACTTTAACTCTAAGACTATACTCTGCCTCATGTTATTTATATGTGTAGCTCCTCCAGTTATTATTCTCGTATTTTCTTCCTTATTTCTGTTCCTAACTTTTTTTCTTCCTGTCTTCCCAACTTGCCTGTTGTATCCTCACTCTCGCTCTCGGAATCAATGCAGTCAAGTCATGGTTGTCCAGAATGCAAGGTAGAGTTGGTTCTCTTTCAGTGTCAAGCTACATTGTAATTTCTAGAGTTTTATTTTTTGCTGATTTGTGTATATTCACCTGTGGTTCAGTTTGGGCTATAATTTACATCTTTTTATAGGTTGGTATCATTGGATTAGGCTACCAGCAAATTGTTCTGATTACAATATTACTAAATAGGTTTAGCAGATGTGTGCAATAGAACATTGAAAAGTAGACAATATTAAAATATTTTAGTATTTTTATATTAAATATGAATATGAATAAGGAAAGACCACCTGAAATTAGATATAACTGGTTTTCATATGTAATTTGTCCACTAAAATTCATTTAGCTTCTCGTGTGATAACCATGGCTAAAGTTCTCCTGAGTCTTCTATTACAAATAAAAATAAAATCTAGAGTCATTTTTCACAAGAAATTAACTGATCTTCCAGATGTCCAATACTGGGCATAAATCTCATCTTAAATACCATAGTTCTCTCGTCTTTTTCCTTACTTATCCCTGACACTGAGACATTTCCATGCCTTTATACCTTCTGCACCATGAAGGCATTGCCACGCAACAGGATGCCATAATCTGCCTGCCCCAGTACATTGCCAGGAACATAAACATTCTCCTTTCTTTGCCAATAGTAGGAAACTGTTTTCTAACAGAGCTTATAACTTAGTACATCATCACATTGTCAGACAAGGGTATCTTTCAGACACATAACAAAGAGCATTCTTTTGCACATTTTATTACATTTATATGAAATGTGCTATTTAGTTGGGGAGGAGAATTTTGCACCATCTATAGCAGTGGGGTGATGAGAATTTTAATTCTACCCAGAATATTAATGTTATAGGGTTTGTTTTTGTCTGCAAAATTAAAATTTGACATCTTTATTAATCCGGACAAGCTGTTGCCCAAAAGAGGTTGTTTCTGATTTTGAATGGCGTAGGTATTTAAATATTGAAAAGAATAGGATTAGTCACCACATCCTTTCTGTGGCCAGAAACTTTTTTTTTTCCTTGCAGCCACATAATCATGGTAAATTCGATTCTGTGAAAGGTTGCTTGTGATGACTAGTTTGTTCATCTCAGGACAGCATCCAGATCTCTCAGACTGATTTGCAAAATTAGCTCAATTGAAAGAAAAGTGTCATTTTAGAACAGACATTATCAATCATTTTTTTCAGAACCTTCCTACCCTTATCTAGAGAACCTGGGGGGAAATTGTCTATATTTAATTTAGAAGAGAGCAGGTTTTGTAAACGTAAATAATAGTTGAAATAGTCTGGGATGTGTTGGTTACAATTTTGAAGACCTAGAAGTCACTCTCCTATCCTGTGTTTCATCTAGAAGTCACTTCTATCATCTCTTTGAGAATTGTCAGTGCAAGAAAAAATAGTAATGACAAGGTACTAACATTGTAATTTTGGCTGATGAGGCCAGTGAATAAAGTCCTAAAGTACTTGGGTTTGAATTTCAGCCCTGCCTCTTAGAAGTTGTGAGGTTTCTCTAAAATGATTTCCTCTTCTGCTAAATAGGAATAATAATAACCCCCCTCCCAGGATTTTTTTTTTTTTTTTTTTTGCGATAGTCATACAGAGAGAGAGAGGCAGAGACACAGGCAGAGGGAGAAGCAGGCTCCATGCACCGGGAGCCTGACATGGGATTCGATCCCGGGTCTCCAGGATCGCGCCCTGGGCCAAAGGCAGGCGCCAAACCGCTGCGCCACCCAGGGATCCCCCAGGATTTTTTTTAAAACACACAGAGTAGTACACCAAAAGTGAAAAGCATAATATCTGGCACATAATAAGCTCTTAGTAAGCAGCACTTGATATTATTGTATTATGTACAAATATACTCTCTTAGGGTATACCACTTTGAATTTCCCGAAGCAACTCTAAAACTGGCCTAAAATTGTTGTGATATGTGGGTATAATACAAATTTATACATTTCATATACATATATATGTGTGTGTTTTTGTATATATACACACACACAGAGAGAGAGAGAGAGGGGGTGAAGAACTTTAGGCTATAGGGTAGATTATAGGGAAATAACCTATATACACTTCAGCTTATAAAGCCTGCAGTTAAGAAAGTTAATGGATTACTCTTATTTTATGATTGGCTACACCAAGTCGCTAGTGGTCAGTTATTCCTACAAAAAAGAAATACAGGTACTTGGGCTATTGGATTACACAGAATTATTTATCAACAGTCTATAGGAAACCAAACAACTTTGTTTCTAAAATAATAAAATATAATAATTTGTCATTCTTAAAATTTAAAAAAAATCCTGTTAACTGATAAGAATTTCACTGGTCCAATTTTCTCATATCCTCTCATTTCCTTTTCCCACCCTCGGATCAATATACTCATAAACTCTGAAAGTCTAATTGTCAGCACCGAGATGAGGTGAAACAGGGAAAGAGTATTTGTCCCTGGATAACTAAGAAGTGAAAATGAGCGTATCTGAAGGATCTCATTCTGGTTTTCTCTCATTACTCTGTTTGACAAAGTGCAGACTTTTTCCCATTAATGAGATTTTGCTATGATTGAAGCTGATTTTAGCTGTCATGATACCTGGAAGTTCAGTTCCTGCCTGGACTTTCTCTAAACCTCCTGTTAGCATATTAGACTATTTCCTCCAGGACCTATATAAAGCAGGTGTTGCATGCATCTACAATTCAAAGGACAAAACTTTTTTCATTTCAAAAGATTTTAAGGGGAAAAAAACCAAAAGCATTTTTTAATGATCCATCCAACAAACATTTCTTTAGCACAAACTGCTCCAGACACTCTAAGATGCTAAAGGTAGAACTGATAAACAGCCATAGGCTCTGACTTCAGGGAGCACAGACGTGATGTGGCCAAAACACTACTGCACAGAACAGTAGGGCTTATAAAATGGCATATGATCGGAGTTTCTTTCTAAATTAAGGGAAAATCCTTAGAGGAGTAATTAAAAATAAATTTGTGTGTGTGTGTGTGTGTGTGTGTGTGTGTGTAATTTCCAATAAAGGACAACCAAATAAAACAAAAGATTAAATAAAATTATATTTTAGATAATTCTATGAAAGCAAAATAGAAAGAAGCCATCATATTCTTTCTTTTTTTTTTAAATTAAAAAGAGAAACATAAAGAACTATGTTTTTTGCCAGTGTAGGGGAGAATAATTGAATTTCAAGGCTTGTTTTTTTTTTTTCCTGTTTGCCTCAAAAGTATATCTACTCATGAGAAAGCAAGGGGTCAATAATTTAAAAAATGAAAGATAAAAGAAGTTAGTCAAACTTCGAGGAGATGAAGGTTAATTTTTTTATTAGCATCATGCCCCATCTTGATTGACTTTTTATTTCCCTTTATTAAAAAACTTCCTGATTTTTAGATACAGCCTAATTGTCCTAATATAATATCATTATTTCCATCTTCCCATGAGAGGATACAGTGTGTTTTCCAAAGAAGGGAAAGGAAAATAAGCTCTACTTTTTTTCTCAACCTAATTTATGCTCACATTTAAGAATCCCATTGCTTCCCTAGCCAGCTTCAACTTGTAAATCCAGATTTTGATGTGGCTGTGGAAGTGCAAACAGTTTTCAATTGTGTCAAGTGGCAGCATAGCCCAATGGGATCATGCTCAAGACAGTCACTAAATGTAGTTATAAAACAAATGTTATTGAAGGAATGGCTTTGTGCGACCACCTCTGTGTTATAAAATTCAAGTACAAAAAAGCTGCAAAGGATTTAATTATCATTTTTACAGCCCCACCAGAAATAGTAGAGGCCAACTGTATGTATCTACTTTAATCCTAAAGGCAATGGACACCTTGAGTCTGGAGAGAATTGAAGAATAAAACTCACTAAAAACATAAAATCCTCCAAATTTTGGTTATTTCTGAGTGTGACTGGGCAGGAATAAATATTTATTGCAATTATTCCTCAGTCCACAACATCTTTTAGGATATACTATTCAGAATTTCCCTAAAGAACTCTAAAACTGGCCTGATTTTTTATGATATGTGTATATATACACACATATTGTATATAATTTACCTATATAAGAAATACATATATTTAAATTGAAGTGAAGAACTTTGGATTATATGGTAAAGAAGACAATCTAGGGGGATCCCTGGGTGGTGCAGCGGTTTAGCGCCTGCCTTTGGCCCAGGGCGCGATCCTGGAGACCCAGGATCGAATCCCACGTCGGGCTCCCAGTGCATGGAGCCTGCTTCTCCCTCTGACTATGTCTCTGCCTCTCTCTCTCTCTCTCTCTCTCTCTGTGACTATCATAAATAAATAAAAATTTTAAAAAAGCTTTAAAAAAAAAGACAAACTAGGTACTTCAGCTAATAAAGCCTGAAATTAAGAAATTGATGAATTATTCATATTTTGTGAGACTCATCAATTGAGTTCATGTAGCATATGTTTATGAACAACCATTCCATTTCCCTCTATTTGAATCATGGTCCTGCCAGTTAATAAGTATGCAGCCTTTCCAGCATACCTTAATTCTGCTGAGTTTCATTTTTTTCTGTCCTGTCTCACAGAATTGCCATGAGGATTAAATGAGTAAACACGTAAGAAGCATTTGGAACTCTGCTTAGGAAAAACTAAACATTTAATGAATGTTAGCTCTTTTTTATTTTTATGTGCTTACTTTATAAATTGTTTTTCATACATAAATTAAGAACTTTTGCTAAATGTGTAAGTGAAAAAATGACTAAAATATGCAGGTGAAAAATTATAACAATTATTCATATTCACAAATTAAGAAAAGATTATGCCTTTGGAAGGCATTTTAAAATACAGACTATTTTCATATATATTGACATATCTAGAATTTCAGTGAACTTTTCAAGTGCAAACTTGAGTTTGCATTTAACACTAATTCCCACCTTTTTAAAAAGTTATAGATTTCACTTTTCTTCATTGATAAAAAATTTACTATTCCACTGTATTATGACTCTTGTCCTTATGTTTCCCCACAATCTCATTACCTTAGTAACAAAGTCCAAAACAAATAGAAGCTTTAAAACTCATGAGTTTTTTTCTTCTAAGTATACCTGCCTAGAGAAATAGGCATGAATTCTAAAGTAGTAAAAAGGCTTGCTATTATCTTCAAAGTGGTCACATCCATTCTTCCTATGCCATCATAAAAAATATATATGTATATAAAAAACATAAGATATAAAGAACATAGATTACCAAAGTTATTTTGAATTTTATCGTAGAATATTTCAAACTATTGAAAATTATAGAAAGTAACTAACCTTACCTGTGTTCTTGCCTTTAGTTCTATCAAATTTTAATATTTTGCTCTATAGGCTTCAGATTTTTTTATTAAAATATATTTTATAGATACCCCTGAAGTCCTCTGAAACCATTCCCTTGTCCACCTGAGATAACCACTAACTAGAATTTATTACCTATAATTCCCAAACTCTTAATGATTTTTATACATTTATTATATATATACATGTATTCATAAACAGCTTACTATATTATTTCACATGATTTTAAGATAATATTCATCTTGATATAGAGATATATTTCATTCATTTTTAACATTTTACTATTTCATTAAATGAATATATCATAATGCATATATATTTTTTTCTTATTAATATGTTATTAGAAACAATGTTTTAGTGAATGTTTTTAAACACATTCCTTGTGCACAGGTGGGAGAATTTCTCTAAGGTAGAAGTGAAATAAGTCAAAGTAGAATTTTCTGGGTATTTGGGTACATAGATTTAAACTTCACCAGTTTTATCTAAAAAACTTTGTGCAAATTTATACTGTGTGTGGCCTATGAGAATTCCTGTTTCTTTAAATCATTGCATATACATTTTCCCCAATAAATTTGCAATTTATCTTGAATGCAAAAATGGTCAAATCCTGCTCTTATTTATATATAAATGAGTTGGTCAGAAGTGAGAAGACTGATGCTTTTTCTTAAACTGGATTCAATTCACAATGGCTGACATGTGAGGTCTTGGGGAATCCTAAATTCAGAGGTTCGCAATCTACACATTAGATTTACCCGAGAGAGTAAAAAAAATTCTGATACTCACACCTAATAGGAGATCCTATTAAATCAGAATATGCTTGGGGGTGCAAGGTTGGGAGATCTGGGCGTGGCAGTGGTTGCTCTACTTCGCAGCCTTAGAACTCAGATTCCTAGGTGATCCCAATATGCAGTCATTGTTGGGAATTATTGTCCTTCTGCATATGGCTGATAAGAAAGAGAATAAAGCAAAAGAGAGGAGAAAGACATTTTAAAAGTGAGTGGTGAGCTAGAACTGGATTCTCAATAGCTATGTCTAGAATGGATAGGGTAAATTAGAGCCTGGGAAACAATAGGATGCATTCCAGCATGTGGCTGTGCTTGAGAGTGGGGACTAGCAAGAGTTAGTAGTCAGCCCTTAGTTGGGAATACAACATCAAGTCAAGGGTCAGGATCCAATTCATGTAGAAAAGACAATTTGCAAAATCAAAACACACGAAAGGACTCTAGATGAGTAGGTTGGTTTTCAGGGCTCTAGTGCCCACCAGAACTGAAGTATCATCTAAGACCTGAGCTATAAGGCTAGGCAGAAAATTTAGGGAAAAGGCAGTGAGGATTGGATAAAGGCATTGTCTGTATGGGTAACTTTGATAATAGCAAACAACAATAATTCCAAACCCACCAACTGGTTGAGTCAGCTATAGGTGTTCTGTTTGTTTTAATTAGAATAGGTTTGGGTTATAAACTTCTAACTGTTGCTCAGATGGAATTGAAAAGTCAAGGAAAAATTCAAATGCCCCAAGTTATAATGAATGAGGAACTATTTTGATCTGGTTCATAATGGCTTATCTGAGCTATTGACATAAACCAAGAAATTATATATTGAATTGCTTTATAACTAAATATCCTATTTTACTAAGAGTGTCAAAATATGCTTTAAATATAAGGTAACAAGTGTTCATGGAATCTCAGCGATAGCAACAAACATTTCTCATCCTTTCCTCATCAAAACAATTATTACGATTTTGTATAAGAAAAAAGTGAAAGAGCATTTATTTGGCTTTGCAGATATGATTAGAAGTAAAACTATTGGAAAGCTAAATACCAAGTTATTATTTATGGGGCAAGAAGATATTGATGTTACCATATAGTTCATGTAATTGTCTCCTGCATTCAGGAAGGAGAAAGGCTCTAAAATTATGGTATAGTTAGAACACCTAAAAGCTTTTCTTTAAAAACCACCTTTTGGGCAAATAAAACTAAAGGCAACCAACATATTTTTAAATTGTCATTTTGTATTCAACTTAAGATAAGGTTTTAGACAGGAAGGTGATGGGATGATTACATAATGATTTAGAACAAAATATCATCTTAAAATGTCTGCATGCCCTTCTGGCTGACTATGAAGAAATCAGTTAAGGTAAATAATCAAGATAACTCTTTTTTTTTTTCTCCTAATTCAGTGCTGAGTACAAGAGGAGGACTAAATATGTTCAAAAAAGTCTTAATCCCGAGTGGAATCAAACAGTAATTTATAAAAGTATCTCCATGGAACAGGTATGCAATGATATTTTCTATGTGACAGATTTAGACTAATGTTAAGAATAGTGATGACAAAATCATTGCAAGATAGTGGTCTATCAGTTTTGCCTCATAAACAAAAAGAAATGAATAAAATACAAATAATAAATGTAGCCAGTGAAAGAAAATGGATACAGTTCAAAGTTACCATGAGTTTACACTGTTAAAATGTGTGCATTTTAACAAAGCAGCCAAAAAATATAGAAATAAGACCAATGTAACCTTTTTTATCAATTATTGCAAAATTTAAATATTTCAGCAGGCTGGGCCACATTTATCATATTTTGAGGAAAAATATTTTCCAACTGGCTATGTATTTTTTAAAATTTTGGCCAATCACTTTCATTTTTTTTCCAGTTTTACTGAGATGATTGACATAATACATTGTATAAGATTATGGTATACACCATAAAGATTTGATGTGTAAATATTGCAAAAATAATAGCTGGCAATATTTTGACTTTCACAAATAATACACAGAAAATATTCAGTGTGTATAAATGTATTATTGCACCAGGCAACATTTTAGGAATTCATCTCTTCTCTAAATCAAGACCTCTTAAGAACTTCAGCATTATGGGGCTAAATCTATGGGCCAAGACATACAGATGACTAGCCTAAAGGATTTTAAAAGAGAGAGATTTTTGATTAGTCCTCCAGAAAGTTTCTAATTTGATTACGAAGTTGAAGCTAGGTGCAAAGTGTAACCTGGGTTCTTGAATTTAAAGTAAGTTAAATTTCGAAAAATAAAAAATAAGTTAAATTACCTACAGAAAGAAGAGAATGCTACGTTTTTTTGTTGATTTACTAAAATCAAAAAACTAAATATCTTACCTAAATAACCTAGACAGTTTTGCATCCTACGAATTCCATGTATTTGAAGAGCACTTATAGATTCTGCTTTTTATTTATAAAAATCAAGGGAGGGGATTTAGAATAACAAGGAATTAGTAAAAGTTTGATGTCACTTACGAACACTAGGTTCGACTATAAAATCACTCATATTTTATATAATATTCAATATAAGCCCACATTTTCAGATGAAATTTGAAGCCTTTTGACACAAATAGAAAGAATTCAAGGAAGTGAAAGTCAATGAATCTATAATAGAGTGTGATGCAAATGTATGATGATATATGGGTTAATGACATTTTGATTTAAACTGTAGCTCAAGAAGAAAACACTGGAGGTGACGGTCTGGGATTATGATAGATTTTCTTCCAATGACTTTCTTGGTGAGGTGAGCATCTGATTTCCTTTTCCTTATTTGCTTTCACTATGAACCACCAATCAGAGCTTGTTCCAAGCATATTTCTCAAGTTTATAAAATAATCATTTTGGGTAAAGTTTTGTTTGGCAGATAGGACGTATTTCCTGATTTATTCCTTGAATGGATGAATAATAATTTGAGAAATGGTTTTCACTCTACCATTTGATGTACTTTATAATTAATTTGTAGATGAATCATAAATTCTTTTGATAGGAGGTATATAATCATGCTGTGAATCCAAATTTGAGATAAATTATTATGAAATGAGCTAGATTTTTAAAACGTATTTTCAGATATTTAATCGCTATTCTTCAACTGTATGTATCAGTGACTTGATGTGACATTCTACCTTCTTATTTCTTCTAAGTGTCCCATGAAAAATCTCTCAAAATATTTTACAAGGCAAAACTAGAAGTAGGCAATAAAAAAACAATTTTATGTTAGGTCACATGGGAATCTAACCTAATCATGAAATCTGGCAGAGTGATAAGATCCTGTGTTTTTTATATCTATCATATTTTAACAAAATATATTTTACTTAGTAACCTTTACTTAAAGCAGAAGTTATGAATTAATGTTAAAAAATAAAGCATCTCCAAAAAAAGAAAAATCACCTAGACAATATGACGTCCCTTCCCAGAAACAACAGAAAACAGTTGTATAGTCTAGGTGACATGAGACCTTGTCTGGTTCCAAGACTCTGCACTTTTCTTTCCCATCAAAACTAGACCATTTGACTCCATGCTGGTATAGCCACTGAGACTAATCTCCATCTTTGGATAGTTCTAGGACGCAGTATTATATCTGATTTAACGTCCCATTTCAGAAAACGGATTTATTGTAGTCCTTATAATGTATTGTTCACATGAACCTAAAGCATATATCCATTATGTTGGTTCTCATTTTTTTATATCTCATCAGATCTAAAATGCCAGCAATTGTCAAATGCACTATTACTCATGAACTCTAAGAAAAAAAATGGTGCCAATTAAACCATAACACAGTACTTTTTTCTCATCATAAATGGTTAGTCATATCCTTATTTTTCAAATATGAACTGAAGTATGTTTTAAATACAGGGAATAAGTTAGTAATTGCAGATTACCCGTTCTTTTAATCTTATCCATCTCATATCTAAAAATCAATCTTTAAAAAAATGATATTCAATGTTAAAAGCAAAAGATATCCAAGTGTAGCACTGAAATGTGTTCATTTAACAAAAGATAGCTTTCATTCATAAAGGAATGGAGTTGTGACTCTACATTTTCACATCATCTCCAAATAATTTAATTAATAGTCAAAGATTTTATACAGTTCAATCAATTCATTTATTTTTTAAAAGACTTTATTTATTCGTGAGAGACACACAGAGACAGGCAGAAACACAGGCAGAGGGAGAAGCAGGCTCCATGCAGGGAGCCCGACGTGGGACTGGATCCCGAGTCCCGGGACTCCAGGATCACGCCCTGGGCCGAAGGCAGGCACTAAACCGCTGAGCCACTCAGGGATCCCCTCAAATGTTGATTTAAAAAAACATTATTTCAGAGAGAGAAAGAGAGTGCACAGTGGGGAGGTGCAGTGGGAGAGCAGAGCAGAGCCCAGTGTGGGGCTCAATCTCACAACCCCAAGATCATGACCTGAGCCAAAACCAAGCGTGTGACACCCACCGACTGCACCATCCAGGTGCCCCTAATCAAATGTTTATCAAGCATCTACTATGCACAAGACATTGTTCTCAATGTCAGGGGTAAAGAAAAATGAGGAAAACAGCCTTGTCATCCTCAGAGTCATACCATATCTTTTGACTTACTTCCTTGAGTAAATTTCAGATCACAGAAAAAAGTAATGAATGAATTATATCAATTTCATTGACTTACTACATTTTTTTTTCAGGTATTGATTGATTTATCTAGCACATCTCATCTGGATAACACCCCTAGATGGTATTCTCTCAAAGAACAGACTGAAAGCATCGATCATGGCAAGTCTCATTCTAGTCAGAGCAGCCAACAGTCTCCGAAGCCATCTGTCATCAAAAGCAGAAGCCATGGTATCTTCCCTGACCCATCCAAGGGTAGGAGATATTTCAAGTAGAAAAAGCTTTTATTCTATTTGTTCACCCAGTAACTTCCTGAATATGAATGCCTGTATATTTAATATACTTTAAAATGTTGGATTCTACTGGAAAGTATGTAATATAATATCCTGCAAACAGTAATGGACATGGAATCAGGAAAAATGAGCGTTAGTCTCAGATCAGCGCATAATTAGGTGTAGGACGTGTATGACTTTGTGATCGTCGCCTCTCTGACTCTGGTTTTCAACCAGCACAAGGGACGAGGAGGTTGGGCTGTACGAGCTGTTGGGTTATTTCCAGCTCCCGAAATCCATGATAATATGATTTCACGAAGAAAAATAAAAGTCCTCGACAGTCCATTGACCAGACACACTTACCATTACCATTTATGCATGTCTCTTCTCATCGTTTAAACCCGTTTTTTCATAGGTATATTCTAACTCATATATTATATATGTAATGTATGCACACATAGAATTTTGCACCCTGCGTTTTATTTATATCAAGAACATTTAACCCATGTCATCAAAATAATTGGTACGTTGACATTTACTTAAACCTTTCCTAAATGTTGGCCTCAAGCTAATTCTATACCTTTTCTATAAACTACCATCATCACGTCTGAAATAGTAACGTTGTCCGTTGGATCTGGCAGCACGCACAGCACCCCCTCTGAGCGAGCTTTTCCCTTGAGAGGTTCGTTGCCAATTCCCCACAACTTGAATCTTCATCATGAACCGAGTTCTGCCTGGACCACATAACCGTGTCCTGTGCTGCGTAGACACACCGACCTATGTATTCTAAGTCTCGGCCAATGTTGTCAGAGTGTGCCCGAGCGCCGCGCCCCGGTCCCCTCCTCCCAGGAACGCCCCAGGCCCAGGGGGCTGCGCCCGCGAGAGGGCGGAGGCAAGCGCGGGTCCCGGGGAGGCGGGCGCGCCTGGCCCAGAGCCGCGCCTCGGGGTCCCCTCGCCAGGCTCCCTGCGCCCCGCCTCGCTGCCTCGGCCCCCTCGCCGGGTCCGCAGCGCGGGGCTAGTGAACGGCCTGGGCCGAGCTTCTCCGCACCCCGACACCTCACTGCGGGCCCCTGCCCTCCCCCCGCGCCCCTGCCTTCCGTCGGGCCGCCCGGAGGCTCACAGGGCCGGGTGCCTGCCCGCGGTCCAGAGGCCGCCCGCCTCGACCCTGCCCGCCGCGACCCACCGCCCGGAGCCCGACCCCACCCCGTGCCCCTGCCCCCCACCCCCCCGTGGAGCCCCCGCACCCTCGAGCCCCGCGGAGCCCCTGCCCCTTCCCCGCGGCGCCCCCGCCCCCCACAGACGCCCCTGCCCCCCCCCACGCCCCTGTCACCCCCGGCGCCCCTGCCCGGCCCCCCGCGGCGCCCCTGCCCCCCCCACCGGCGCCACTGACCCCCGCGCCCCCCCTTCCCCGCCCCCCGCGGCGCCCCCGCCCCCTCCCCGTGGAGCCCCCGCCCCCCTCCGCGGCGCCCTCGCCCCTCCCGCGGCGCCCCTGCCCCCTCCCCGTGGTGCCCCTGCCACCCCACCGGCGCCCCCGCCCCCTCCCCGCGGCGCCCCTCCCCGCCCCCCTACCCCCCACCGGCGCCCCTGTCCCCCCCACGCCCCCGGCCCCCCCCTGTGGCGCCCCTGCCCCCCCCCGCAGCGCCCCTGCCTTGGTTCGGGCCGCCCGGAGGCTCGCAGGGCCGGGTGCCCGCCCGGAGCCCGGCCGCCTCGACCCCGCCGCCGTCGGGCCTCGGCTCCCGGGAAGGCGCCCCGCGTCCGGCCGCGGCCGAGGCGCTAACCCCGCCCGCCTTGTGACCAGACATGCAGGTGCCCACCATCGAGAAGTCGCACAGCAGCCCCGGCAGCTCCAAGTCGTCGTCCGAGGGCCACCTGCGCTCGCACGGGCCGTCGCGCAGCCAGAGCCGCAGCAGCGTCGCGCAGAGCCACCTGGACGACGCGGGCGCCGCCATCGCCGCCGCCGAGGCCGCCGTGCAGCAGCTCCGCCTGCAACCAAGTAAAAGCCGCCGATAAACCCCGCATGGCCGCTTGCGCCGCCCGCCCGGCCCGCCCCGGCCGCCCCGGCCCGCCCGCTCCCCGCGCTTGGCCCCCGCCCCGGCCCCGGCCCCGGGCCCGGGCGGCCGCCGCTCGCCCCGCCTGCCAGCCCGCCCGTCCGTCCGTCCGTCCGTCTGTCTGTCTGTCTGCTGGCGCGCACTGCACTAAAACTGGCTGTTTCCTCGTCTGCACCCGCCCCCCCTCCCCCCCCTCCGGCCCGGGCCGTGGCCGCCACGAGCGCAGCCGCGCGGGGTCCCCTGCGCCTCCCGGGCCGGCGAACACCCCGCAGAGCCCGCGACCGTAGGCCGGACGGACGCCGGCTTCCCTGGAGGCCTCCCAGGGGCAAGGCCCCAAGGGACACACGCAGGCAGCCCCCCAGGGGCACAGGCCCCCAAGGGCAAGCCCCCCCAAGGGCACAGCCCCCCAAGGGACACACGCAGGCAGCCCCCCAGGGGCACAGGCCCCCAAGGGCAGGCCCCCCAAGGGACACACGCAGGCAGCCCCCAAGGGCACAGCCCCCAAGGGCACAGTCCCCCAAAGGCACACACGCAGGCAGCCCCCCAACGGCACAGCCCCCCAAAGGCACACACGCAGGCAGCCCCCCAACGGCACAGCCCCCAAGGGCACAGCCTCCAAGGGCACAGTCCCCCAAGGGCACACACGCAGGCAGACCCCCAACGGCACAGCCCCCCAAGGGCAGGCACGCAGGCAGACCCCCAACGGCACAGCCCCCCAAGGGCAGGCACGCAGGCTCTAGAAGCCGCCACGAGCCGGGGGCGCCCCGAGGCGGGGGGCAAAGAGCAGGGCGTCCCGCAGGCCTCGGCCCCCAGGGCGCCGCGGTCACACGCCGCAGCCCTCCCTGCGGGGACTTCCTAGTCTTGGGGGGAAACCGTGACAAAAATCATGTCTTACATTTTCAAAGAGAAAACAAAAACAGAATATCGATCATATGTGTAGACCTAGGTGACGAGGCGGGTGACCCCCTTGAGGAGCACAGCGCGGTCCGCGCCGTTGGACCTCGCCTTGTACCGGATGCCGGAGAGTTTATGGGCGTTTTCCCCTCTGGATCCTCATGCAGTCAGGGTATCCGGTGAGGCCCAACAATCCACCCATCCGAGTTGCGGCACTTTCATTTGCTTTCTGACAATTTAGTCGACCCATATATCAAAACGTAAGGAGCACAGAGATTTTACGAAGGGAGGTGCACTTGGACTCCCAGGAGGCATTAGCCGGCCAACAGAGAGACATAGATGGTTCCCCCATCTCCCGAAGTCTTCTTTCCAAAGAAACAGCCAGTTTTAACCCCTTCAGTGCTGTGCATGTGGTGTCATCTTGGCATTCGGGAACACAAGTTCTTTAAAAAGAGCGAAAGATCACTTCTGTTTGCATGACTAACATGTAAGCCGGTTCCATCTGAGGATACATACTCTGGGTTTCCATTTCACCCACACCGCCACAGCAGCACATAAGAGCGGTCAGGCTAATCATGCCAGGAAGCAGCACAGGCACAGCATAGCAGGCGTCCTCCCCATTCAGAGAACTCAGTCTGATAATCTGCCTCCACCAGCCAATGGCAACCAAGACCAAAGCCAGCTAGCCCTCAGGAAGGTGATGTCTGATGGACCAGTCAAGCCAGAAGGAGGTGAGCAGAAAGGCGCTATTCAAAGCACACAGCAAGAACGTCCCCCCAGTTTAAAGCCCTCTTCTTTTAATTTTTAGAGATTGTCTGATAAAATATGTTTATCCACTTCTTAATGTGCTTTTGTGGGCATGGCATTTCAGGACTTCATCATCACTGTGTAAGTCCCCAGATCAGTCCCATAATATATTGACTACAGTGATTTGTATTTTTCTATGCACTGGGCATCTTTTGACTTCTGTTGGGAAATAGATTAACAATATTCATATTTGCAGAATGGAATGCATGCTACTAACCTAATCTGTTCAAGCATGACTATAAATATGTTGCATTGTGATAAAAGTTTAAACTGCTCAAAATTCGAGTTAGCATACCGGTTGGAATGTAGATCAGTTTTTGTTGCATATTATTTCAAGTGTAACTTTTAAAAAAATTCAGTGGATTTTGGAAATTCTTTAGAGGAAAGTAAGGGAAAAATTGTTAATGCACTAATTCACCTTTACATGGTGAAAGTTCTCTCTTGATCCTACAAACAGACATTTTCCACTCCTGTTTCCATAGTTGTTAAGTGTATCAGATGTGTTGGGCATGTGAATATCCAAGTGCCTGTGTAATAAATAAAGTATCTTTATTTCATTCATAAACCACTGGGTTCTGAGCCATTGTTATATGATGCAGCTTAAAATGAGTGTGTCAGTTTTTGCTTTCTCATTTGATTCCTTGCAATAGAGTATTGATAGTTCCCATTCCATTGCTAGTGAGACCTCTAACGATAGGACATTTTGGGGGCAGAACAAAGTTTTGTGTTGAAACATCATTAGCTAGATGGAAAATAACTACCAAATAAAAGCACCAAGCGTACATAACCATGGGAGTAAATAATGGCGTTGGGCTATTCCCGGCCATCGGTCCACCATGTCTTGCTCCCACATCTGATCTGCTCCACAATCTTCTCAGGTTCCTGGCTAGACCCGTGGGATCCTCTGAGCCCTGGTTGTGGAGGTGCATCCAAACTTGATTCCGTAGCTGTGTTCAGAATGGAAAGCAAGTTTGTATCCCTCCCTAACTAGACCCCAACGTTCTGGGGCTTTCCCCAAGAAAGAGGGCCACTGCCAGTCACAGGAATCAAACGAGGGTGATTACAGAGTTATCTCCAAATTTGATCCAAAAATATTTCTAAAATAAAGGGTTTAAGCAAATAGGAGAGCTGTGCCCTATTTGAGTCTCTTCCCACCCTAAAATACTTGATTTTATGATTCTCTACGTGTCCCCCAATTACAATCAAGTCATATATTTTTTTCTATTGTATTTCCCTTTATTCCCCCAAACCGACCATTTTTAATACAGTCTTGTCCCAACCAATCAGAGATTCACGGGCAGTGGAAGACCTATGTGTCAGACCTATGGTGATGTTTTCAGAATTAGCCAGGTCACTGTCCCCTCTGCAGATTGCCTTTTCTGATTAGCTCACTAGTACTTCCCAAAGGTACTTAAAATCCCGCCTCTCACCTTTTCTTCCATTTGAATAAATTCAGTCGGTTTCTTGGTGTTACTTATTTTTCTTACTTCAAATATTCCATACCTATAAGTGTCACAGGAGTGAAATGCTTCCCTATTTCACTCTATTTTAAATCATCATGACTTCAGGATTACGATACTATATTTTGAATGATTTTTTTTTCTTGATGCGGTTCTTAAAATTTGTAGCAAAATATTTTTAATTCCCTTTCTTTGCACAATGCTGTAATGGATATTCTCACCCATTAGAAGGTACTGTGACTATCTGAAGCCATTCTGTATTGAAATAATCAAGATAACATAGGCTGCTTTCTTGTTTAATTTTGTACTGATAAAATGCCATTTTCTGTAATATAATTATTGCCCTGCTACTATAAATATACCAAGGATATAATTCAACCATGCATTTTGCAGAACAATGAATAGTCAACATGCTATAGGATTAAAATTATATAAAATGGTGCATAAAAAAGCTTGAAAAAGCTTTTAAAGCTTAGAAAAATTGGTACAAGATGTAAACATACAAAGAGCCAACAAGTTCCTTAATTGTTTTAAATTTTTTTTTCAAGTTCCTTAAGTGTTTAGATAAAAGCCTTCCATTTCAACCTCGCAGTGGAATTCATACAGTCCCATCTGCATTCTGATGGTGATGCCCTTCATCTGGACAGTTCTTCCCATCGCACCGACTTCTTTGTCACCCATCTTCTCATTCTCTCCCACCTGGTAGATGAGGTATTCATGGCGGATATTCTTATCCCTGGTTTCTGAGTGAACCATCAGAGGGCTGGGATGATGGATAGAACACGCAGAAAGTTCTAGAATTGGCAACCTGACCCTCGTTCCCAGGCCTAAACCTTGGCCGCTTAAGTGCATGGCTCCTTTTGAAATCACAGTCCTCTCATTTCGGTGAAAACAACATCATCCACATACTTGGTATTTATCACTTAAGCTCTCAGAACTGATTAGAGGTTGCTAGAAACGATGTCAGAATGCGATGTAGACTTGCCCTCCCAACGTGATCCTTTCCTGTGAAGGCTGCGAATCCAGCTGCCAGACCAAGGGAATGACCCCTGTGTTGTGTGAGCCCGGGGCAAGCAAGTCGCAGAGGCTGGGTGTGCATCTGGAGTCTCCTCCAGCGGGGGGCCAGTGTCCCTAAAGAGCCTTTCGAGTATTTTTTGTGAGCTTCTCAGCAGATTTCTGCCTGAAGTAGCATAAAATATGGGTCAGACAAGAATTACGGAGCCAGCCAGAAAGCTCTCTGTCCCCCTGTGGGTTTAGCTGCGCTAGGAAACCTGAAGAGAAAGATGAGACAGATTGTGCCAGATAATCCTGATGCCTAAATGACCCTTTTGTATTTAGAAATCCCTGGAAACTTTTTTTTTTTTTTTCCAAACCGGTTGGTTTGGCTGAACACAGACTCCACCATTTCAGAAGGTGAGAGCCACAAAGGGGTGGGGGGGTGGGGGTGTTAAAAATGGTCCTTTTTTTAAAAACCATACTCAAACTGAAACAAATTGAAGCATTCTTAAAACCTTAAATAGTAACTTAGTTGACCTCAACTACATTTTAGGTACATTTTGAAATTCCTGAGTTATTTTTGTTTGGTACTAAGATTGTGAATTTTAAACTAAGTAATACAGGTTGAGGAGAAAAGTCCCTCCACCCTGGGCAATGAGCTCAGAGCCATCAGGATGGGTTGGAGAGGGTAGGTGAGCAGACCAACGGCTAAATAAGGTGCATGAGGGGATTAGGGTAAAGCATTCCCAGGTGTGGCCCAGTTGTAGGAGAAAGGCCTGAAGCTCCTT